GGGGAGGGGACTCACGGCCCCATGTTGCCACAGGGAGGTCACCAGGCTGTGGAGCCTTTTACGAGGTTCTTCTCACATATTTTTGGGAGATACCAGTGTCCATGATATGTGTGTGTAAAATATTAGTCTGCAGACTGGGAAATAGTGTCACTTCGGAGCTGTCAAGAGGAGACTTGGGAGACAAACTCAATTCCATTACTTCTAGGAAAAAATGAGGTACTTAATTCCTTAGGGAGTCTAGACATTGATTGATTGAGCCACCTGTCCATCTACCACCCCCCACCCCGACCCTGCAAGCCAGACAACTGACAGGTTCCGTGCCAGGCCTGGTCAGGTAGGTACTGTGCGTGGTCAAGGGACAAAGACTAAGCCGTACCCTCAAGGGTCTTGATGGCCAAGCTAAGAAGTTGGGACCACAGGTAACAGGGAACCACTGAAGGGCTATCTGTCTTCCTCCCTCAGAGATCCTGCCAGGTCTGCCTTGATTTTAAGCTAAGATTCTTGAAAGTTCTGCACCCAAGACATTCAAAGTTGATTCTTTAACACAAAAGATCTTTTGATTAAACTTGTTTGTTTTAACACACTTTCTTTTATGCCATATCTCTAAGACTGACGTAACAAGGGTAAAGTTCACTGATGTTCCACAGAAGATGGCTTTAGAAATATTAGACTTCCTGGTCTAGCACCCTGCAGAAGAGTGAGCAGAGCAGAGCAAAGCAAGGTTGCACGGGCAGTGAATGAGGGTCAGGCTCAGGGCCTAAGCTCCATTTCTCCCCACCCACTCGCACCCCTGGGGCAGCCACTATCAGTGCAGGGGCCGGGAATTGGCAGAGGGCTTAGGGTTGGAAGATGTGGTGAGCTATATAAGTGCTGACTTTCCACAAACTGCCAAACTGCTTAAGAAAAGTGGTGAGAGGCGAGAATCACTCAAAGAATTAGTCTTTGGAGAGGGTCATGTGCAAACCACATCTGACAACACCCAAACACATCCCGACACTTGTTCCTCATGATGAAAAGGCTGGAGAGACAGTGATTTCTCTCCAAGAGCAGGGAAAATCCACAAAGGTCCTGAGCAAGCTGGTGGCCAAGCAGGGATGCGAAGCAAGCATTGTGGCCTTTCAGGAAAGGGCTGTGCCTCGATATCCTCTCCCTTTTAGGAGACTGTCATTGGGGGCTTGTAAAAATAAGGAGATTCATGCTGAGACACACAGTCTCTCAATTCCTCGCCTAACTCCACCCGCCACAGCCTGAATGACATGGCGCTGTAATTATCTGCTTACAGGACTTCCCACTGCACTCCCTCCTGCTGAGTTGAGCCCCTCAAGGAGGGGCTGGACTCATTCTGCATCAGTTCAATGCTCCTTACATGAATGAATGAATGGGAAAGCTGATGATCAGATTGCATCTCTGCCTGAGTTCAAGAGTGGTTGGTCGGGGGCCACTGAAGAGAGGAAATAACATTGTGAAGACTTCACCTTGAGCAAGGCTACGGTGGATGTTATGATACTCAATGTTACAGGTAAGGAAACTGAGGCTCAGTGAGGCGTAGGCACAAAGGCAAGGACATAGGGCCTGGGACTCCCAGAGGCCTCTCCTCTCAAGGTTCATTAGTCCTAAGCTGTTTCCAAGTTCAACCCGACCCACTCTTTGAGCCCTGATAGCCCAAGGGGAGACCAAGGACGTCTCTCTGAAGCCTCGTTAGCTGTTGCTTAGGCAGCTTCTTCCCTTCACCTTGAGCCCACTCTCTAATTGAAGTTTTTCTCAAGATATGGACTTCTCCCTTAGAAGCCTGGTAGACCAAGCCCTACCCCTGCTCTGGCTTTCAGGAAGACACTGGGAAAGGGGGGCAGTGTGCTGGGCTGAGATCAGATAAGCCCCTAACAGTCAGGACCAGCTTCCATCACTTGCTGAGATGAGCACCCCTTAGTTTTCCCTCTTTTCAGAGCAGTGACCTTTTCACCAATATGGGGGGATGGGAGTGAGGGGTGAGCTCTGCACTGGGTGCCGGAGACAGGGTTCCCACACCCTTCACTGGCCCCTTTCCTGCAGCTATTCCATGGGAGTCAGCTTTCCTTCTCTCATCTTTCTGTCCTCCTCCCTCCCCAGCCTGCCTTCTCCCGCCTTCCCCACTTCTCCCCATTCCCAATGACTTAGAAAGGGCAATGACCTTCTTGATGGCCCTCCTGCTATCACTGCTCAAATGCTACCCTGTTCCCTATTGAAAAAAAAATCCCACCTCGAATGCTGTTCTGACTGGGTCACCTCTTATTCCCATCAGACCCTTGTCTGTGAGGGTCCAGCCAGCTGGAAACTGAAGAGTTCTTGGGACTGAGTTTCGGGCTCTGCCACCACCACGTTCGCCTTAGACACCCCGTGCCTCCCGGCACAGTCCTCTAGCTTTAAATAGACTGACCTCTAAGCCAAAACCTGATCACTAGGCCTTTTTGGGTTCTGATGGCAGAGTAGCCAAGTACTACTGGTGGTCCTTCATTTTACTTTCAGCCCAGTCAGATGCTTGATCCAATGGTGGGAATTAGCATCTCACTTACTATTTCACTGTTCAAACATTTATACTTGTCCTCAGGGGCAGCCTGAACATCAGTCCTCCCCAGCCTACATTAGCTCCCTCTTAGACTCCTCTTATGGCACCTACCACAATACATGTTATTTTTTATTTATACACACACACACACACACACACACACACACACACACACCCGGATGATTCCTTGATGGCACAGATCGTCCACCTTGTCTATTATGTGGCCCAAAGTCCTGCCTTCCTACATGGGAGTCTGACAAGGACCTGCCGATTGAATAATAACTCAGGCCCCCTCGGAAACAAGAGGAACCCAGTCACTACAAAATGCTGGTGCCTAGCCCTGACGCCAGCATCAAACAGAGGGCTGAGTATAGTGCTTTAGGCGAGTGGATCTCCAGGCTGCGGGATGAAGTCCAGGAAGGCTTTCTGACACCGGTACATCAGGGCTTACTGCCTAAGCATAAAGCACATGCAGGCTGCCCTGTGAGGGCACTGCCGCCTTCCCAGAGCTTAGTCACCTTCCTCCGATGTATCCAGGAGACCCTAATATCCCAGGAAAAAGGATTCCCTGTATATTAGGGCTAGAAAGGTTGTGTTTACGCCAAAGACTACACTTTACCTATAAGGAAACTGAGGCCCAGAGCAGGACACAGACTAGTTCCTAAAGCAGCCCAGTCCTGGGCCCCATGGGGTCAGGCAGGTACCATGTTGCACTAGGAGCCCAGAGACCAGCAGAACTGGAGAGCATGCTTCTGCTCTGCTCCAGAAGAGGCATCTACTTTTCCTTTTCCTGAAAGGCGGTTCAGGAAGAGGGGGCGGGGTGCTGTTGGTGCTGCCTTGGTCAGGTGGAAAGTAATGTTGGGCAGAGTGCTGAGTTGGCAGTCACCTTGGGAGGGGCTGGGCTGCAGGCTCCCTGCTGGGAAGGGTCAGAAATCTTTCAGAGGGAGGCCTGTTTGTGACTTTTAAGCAAGCTTGACCTGCAACAGAAAGCTGGTTTCTAAGGGAGAGCAAAATAAGCAATAATCTTGGCTTCATTTATCATCCAGGTGCCTCCACAGGAGAGTGGGGCCACAAAAGCCTTTTTTGTTTGTTTTGTTTTGTTTTTGGAATTTGCAATTGTCTATTTTCTTAGTCTTCCCACTAGGCTAGAATCATGTGGTCCTGTGGAGTCGGGCCCAGGTCTTGCCCCTGAAATCCCCAGCAATCACAGTACAGGGACTCAGTGTTTGCTGAACAAACCTTCCTTTCCACATGTGTGCTCCTCAGCTTAAGACTTTGCTGAACCAAGAAATATATCCCAAAACCCAGAAAAGAAGAATTCAGACAGAAAAGCACTGGAGAATCAGATAAAAAAAATACTCAGCAGATATAATCAATAAAAGTTTGATTCTTTGAAAAGACCTTTAAAATGAACAAATCTTTGCCAAGTTTTTTTTTTTTTTTTAATTTATAATCCTCACCTGAGGATAGTTTTAAATTACTTTTAGAGACAGAAGAGTATCGATTGGTTGCCTCTGTGCCTGGACCAGGGATCGAACCTGCACCCTAGGTAAGTGCTTTGACAGGGAATTGAACCCACAACCCTGCAGTTACGGGATAACACTCCAACCAAATGAGTCACACCAGCCAGGGCTTTGGCAAGTTTTGACCAAGAGAAAACACTGATAAGCAACAGCAGAAATGAAAAAAGGAAAACAGACAATAGGGAGATTTAAAAGGACAGGAGAAAACTACACAGAACTACAGCGAGAAATTAAAAACCTAGGTAAAATAGGTGAACTATGAAATTACCAAAGATCTTTTGCAACTGTTATCTCAACAAACCCTCATCACAACAGCTGTGTCTTGGACATGTAGTGCTCCTGTTAGGTTTTCCAGAAGAGACCAAGAGGCAGACACCCAGCACAGGGCCCTGGCGAGATGCCCTGCTTTGTCTCAAAGGTCACAGCCACAGAGTACGTGCACGTTGCCAACACCAGCCCGCACCACTGTGGCACTTGTACCCATTGCTTTAAGCCTAAGCCCCCGTTGGACGGCCAGCCTTTATTTTTCCAGTTCAGATGCCATAAGGCATAAGGGGTTTCACTTTATTTTTACTTCAAAAGTAGCATCATAAAAATCCTTGATGATTAGGGTTCCAGCTGTCTTAAGTTGTCAGGGGATCGGTTACTCAAGTCTCCTATGGAGGGAAACAGTTTCAGGCGAGAAGCCACGGGAGCTGAGAAACTCGAGTGTCTCAACTCTGAAAACTTTCAGACTCCCTCCTGTTCACCGCCTGGCCTGCCCCTGCTCCCCCTCCCCCACCCCCACCATCTGCTCTCCAGAGAGCAGGTCAGATTTTCGGGCTAAGGTACTCTGGCGCCAGAGACTCAGCCCCTCCGTGCCACCCCCGGCCCCCACCAACTCAGAAATCCAACACCACAACCCCAATGGACTGCAGCCACATAAAACCACAAAGTAAAGTTTATAAAGCTTTATTAAACATTTCAAACAGCTGTGCAACGAACACACCAGAAGTAAAAGCTCCAGAATGCAGTCCAAACGTTCCACAAGTGTGGCCTTGCGGTCCCATTCCCTAGATGGATTGCATCCAGTTCTGTCCTCTGCCTGGCCCACCTGCCTCCCCGCTCAGGCAAGAGAAAGATGGTGTGGTGTAGACTGGAGGGACAACCGTGCTGATCCCCAGTGGGCAAAGGCCAGGAGAGAGTCTTGTTGCCCACACTTGTTACAGAAGTGCAGAAACAGAAAAAAAGCAAGTGACAGTCACAAAGTCTTCCTGTGTATTCTTCAAAATGTACAGTCTCTGTGTGCAGGACTCAAGGAGCTCCAGGCATGAGGACGACAGCCACTGCTCCTCTCTGTCTCGTCTGAACCACCCTGGAGTCCAGTGTGCTGGTCACTCTGCAATACCCATGCTAAATAAACACTGTAGCGGCACCCACTATAGCTAGCTATTGCTAAGTCTCAAAATCAGAACACGTTCAATAAAGCTTCTTGAAAAGGAATATACACATGTATTTGTACACGTACACACACACGTACGGCACACCAAAAAATATCCAAACACCTATCGAGGGGATCGTGGCTGTTACGAAACACACCGTACTCTCCCATTCACTCGGCTGGGGACGGCCAGGTCTAGATCTACACGAACACGCTACACCTCAATCCTGCAGAGCATGCACAGGAGACACGATGAGGCAGCCCGCCCCCTCCTGGGGACAGCTGAGGAAGGCAGGAGGAAGGGCAAAGGAAGTGAGGCTGGGCATGAGCCCAGACCCCTGGTGAAAGAGTAACATGTATTGGTTACTTCTTTCTTAAAAATGAAGTTGAAAAAATACTGGAGATTTTGTGAACAACAAACAGTCAAGACATGTTTCTGTCTAGCCTGCTGACGAGGGAAAGAAGGATGAAAAAGCGAGGCTCTTGGGCGTCAGCAATCTCTTTAAATTCGAGATAAGTGCAAATATGAGCACTGTCTTGGACAGATGCTCCCCCCAAAAAGGAAAGGGGTAGAAGAAACTAAAGGGAGGGACTGAGGAGTTGGGAACATACTGGAGAAGGAGGAGACCCTGACAAGGAGGGGTCACAGAGGTGACAATGAGACTTGGCATTTTATCAGCCCAGGTCATGCTGGGGTGGTTAACCAGGATGGGTGCAGACTCCTCGCAGGAATGAGGCGAGGGGGGTGGCCATCCTGCCAGCTGGGACCAAGATGGGAACAGAATACACACAACCACAAGACCTCCCACGACTATAGGATTCTACAATAAAAGCACCGGTCAGTGCTATTATTCACATTATAAGGATAAAACATCACAGGCCAAAAAGGCGCCGTCAGGAATGTGGCACCCGCGGGCTGCGGGATTTGAAACTCCAATGCTTTATGACCTATGTCAATGCCTCCCCTCCCGTCTTCTGCTTCCTTGGAAAGCTAAACAGGCAGACTGTTAGGTACCCACAACACTGGGGTCGTGTGCTGATTCTGGAAGCGGGGAATCGGAGCAGTGGTACAGGAAACAATTTCCCCAGCAGCTATAGCAGATGAGGAAGAGGGCTGCCAGGAAGACCAAGGCACAAATTGTGCAAGGTTTCCGCTCCAGGAGGAAACTGAGCAGGTAGAAGCCCATGAACATGGAGTGGCTGAACCACAGGGCGGGGTTGAGGGGCTTGGGGATGAGGAGGACAGGCAGCAGCCACTGGAGGCAATACATGATCTCTGTCAGGCAGGGCCTTCGCCAAGGCCGCTGGGCACCGCTGCAGGAACCGACCTAATGGGAGCCAGCGGGTGCGGGCGGCTGCCCTCTGCTTTCTTCAACCCTCACTCTCCAGGAGCTGAGCCGCTGTGCTCTCTGGCAGTCAGCCTGGGATCACCAAGGCAGCAGGGATCCTGAAGAGAAAAGTCAACATAACAGACAGACAGACAAAAGACAGACAGACAGACAAAAAAAAAAAAAAAACAGGAACAGAATGTATACTTATTTGGGAAAATGGATCATGGTTAACAACAATAAATGTGAATGCCCTTGCCTCCCTGCCCACCCATGGAAGTCTATTCATCTCCGAGTCACCATTTCTGGAAGCCCCCTGGGGTGTCTCCCTGGTGCTTCTTGGGGGCTCTTCCCGCAGGTCCCAAACAGTGGACTGGCTTTGCCTGGGCCCTGCCCAGCAGAGATCATGTATCGCCTCCTGGGGCTGCAGCCCGTCCTCAAGAGGTCCAGACCTCACAATACCGCCCTGTGGTTGCCACTGGAGAGTCATGCCCCACAGGACTAGCACAGGGTTCTCTCTCACAGTGGGTGCTGAGTAGAGTTAGAGCAGTTAGCGGCACACGCACTGCCGACGGAGGAGATGGAAAGCAATGGATCCTTGCAAGCTTCAGGAAGCTGCAGAGGCGGCCGCACCATCAAATACTTTAAGATGGCAGCCTGGGACGAGCTTGCCTTTTTCAAACAGCCTGGCATCATTTTGCCGAAACCAGCCAAGTTCTTCGAAAGTCAATATAAAAAAATCACCATGCTACTTCATCCAAACTGACCTCGCTTGGATGACTTACACTGTCCATCTGCTGCTGGCATGGTATAGAACCTGACCTCTATGAGCTTTTAATCAAAATTATTTTCTGTCCACATAGGGACAAATGGCAGTTGGCCCCTGTGCCAGGCAGCGTGCTGGAGAGAGGTGCCCACCAGAGGTGGGCCACTGGTGCACCGTGACCACGCTCGCAGACCGCGGTCAGCAAGGTCTAACTGAGGCGCCTGGAAACGGACCTGCAGCAGCCACAACCCTCTGGTGGCGGTAGCAAAACCTCGCTCCAGCCACCCAGCGCAACGGGTACAAAGAACCTCGCTGGCTGAGGAAGACCTACCGGGGCCTTGGGGGAAGCACAGCAGAAGAAAGAGGTTGAAATGACCTGCCCCAAAGCAAACTATCCCAGGAAGCATTGGACCCCTTCACGGGACAGCTCATCCTATCCCGCCCCGCTTATACAAAGGCACCAAACCCTCCCGTAACCTTCCCACAGGAAAGATAACTACCACTTTCCCGCCTAGAGTTTAGTGCACTGTAGGGTTCCTATAATCGCCACCACCATAGGTCTGGCAACCGTAAAAAAAAGCGGGACTCAAAGATTACTCGCACGCAGACTTGTGAAACAGAGGACGCTGGCTTACAACACATCAGATACTAGAAAAAGTGTTGAACAGGGGCCTGTGAAGCTAAGACTCCGGGAAGGGGCATCCTTTTTACTCTGCAGGGTCGATGATCCCTCTCTAAATTAGGTTTCCATCGGGGCCCAAGGTAGGTTCTGGTACGGCACGGGACACTGGGCTCAAAGAGAAGAGGTCCGCACCAAGAGGCACACTCCCCCTACCCTTGCGGTATGTGCTACTAAGAGTCGCAGTTCCCCTCCATTTTACACTAAAATTCAAAAGCGGGGACGGCGGAATCTTCTGGAAAGGGGCTAAGATGAAACTAGGGAGGCGGGGGTCGGTGTGGAAAGAGCAGATGGATTATTTTTTCCTCTCGTAGCGAATGAGAAGCGCCTCCGGCTTACCCCCCCCCCCCATTAGACCCCTGTAAACGCACATGCGCACTTGGGTGGCGGGTGGATACTTAAGGCGCGGCCACCGCGGCTGCGGCAGTGCGCCCAACAGCGGACTCCGAGAGACCGGCGGCCCTCGGCGAACCGCAGCCTTCGGCACACTCACTCTCGACGACCCATTCTCGGAACCATGGCGGCGGTGGCAGTAGCATCGGCTGAACTGCTCATCATCGGCTGGTACATTTTCCGCGTGCTGCTGCAGGTAAGTGGGCCCCGGTTCTGGGTGGGAGAGGGGTCCTGATACGCGCCCCCAATCCGGCAAGCCCACGTTGTAATTGCCGCCTCCCCGACCCGTCCTATCCTGATTGCCGCGATCCCTGCCTGCCCGAGTGCCGCGGCCGGCCGGCACCACGCGCCCCCACCCGTTCCCTGCGCCCTCCTCCTAGCGCAGACCCTTCTCAGTGCGCCCGCGCCCGGCCGGGAACAAAGAGTTGGGGCGCGGCGGGCGCCAGCCGCCAAGGAACGCCGAGGCTCTTAGCGACCAACGTGGTAAGAAAAACCCGCTATACCCAGACTCGATCCCAGGAGGGAGGCGGGGCACGTCTGTTTTTGCGAAAACAGACTTTACAACTCGCAGAGCAAAAATTTTCTGCCTTAAAGAATTGCGCATTGCGGGGAAATTACATTAAAAAATTAAGTGATTGCGGGGCTGGGGCAAAAAATAAGTTAGAAAATGCACTTCTCAAAAACAAATGCAAAGCACTTAACGAAAACCAACCCACAACAAATTAGAAAAAAGTAATTCATGGGGGAAAAAAACGAATTTGAGAAAATGCGCATTGCAGGAAAAATAGACAAAAACACTTAGAAAAATTGCATTAGATAAAAAGCGCATTGCAGAAAAAATCAGACAAAGGAGCTAACAAGAAAGTGAATCAGATAAAAGCGCTGAGGAAAAATAGAAGAAAAGGCTCTTTGCAAAAAAACGGAAGAGAAAAACTGCTTCCTAAAAATCCAATTTCACTTTATTAAAAAAAATCAAATTGAGGCAAAGCGCTTTGTTTAAAAAGAAAAAAATCAGAAGAAAGCACTTTGCCCATAAAATCATTTATTCTAAATATACCCTTTGCAGGAAGAATTCCCTGCTAAGGAATTCTTTGCCAAAGGAATTGCATATTTCCTTCAAGGTGTTCCTGGAATGCTGCATTTACTGGGTAGGATTCCCTTTTCGAAATCATCCAGGGACCCAGCCCATTGCAAGAAGTGAGGTATACATAAGTTGTAGGTCCAATCAGCTTGCCACCATGCAGCCTTCGGGCCAGCTGGAAAAGCTCCAGCTGCCCTGACTTGTGGGCAGGCTGCGCCCTGCCCGCCTTTCCCAGTAGGGCAGGCGGGCGGGGCAGGGGGCGGGGGTGGGGGCGGGCACAGCAGCGCTGCAGATAGGCTGCGGGTGCCGGCCACTAAGGGCAGGTCCTGGGTCTCTCACTACAGGTGTTCAGGTACTCCCTGCAGAAGCTGGCGTACACCGTGTCGAGGACTGGGCGGCAGGTGCTGGGAGAGCGCCGGCGGGCCCCCAACTGAGGCCGCAGCCCCCAGCCCTGGGCGGCCTTGTCACCAGGTGCTCCTGTGCATCTCACCCAGCATGGGAGCCAGTGTTGCCCAGGAATGGGGGGTCCCCTGTGCTCTCTCGCCAGAGGAGCACTTGCCAAGGTCAGTGAGGGGCTGGCAGGCCTACGGAGAAGCAGCACTGCAATCTATGACGACAATACCAGATCCCTTCCCAACCCCCTTTGCACCCCTCCCACTGGGGGGCGGGGTAGAGGGAGGAGGGGGGATGGAGGGAGCAGACCTCTGAGATTTGGGCATAGGCATTCCGATCTGGACCAAGCTGGAACAGCGACATCCAGCCCCACAGCCACGGCCACGGCAGCAGGCCCACCACAGAGATCCAGACCACCACACCAGCCAGCAGAATGGACATTCCAACACCACCAGCTGAAGCCCTGAATCTCTGAGCAGCAGACAAGGAGCCAACTACATGCCTGTGTGGCAGGACTGGAGGGCATGGGCAAGGGAGGAAGACGGTTAAGAAACAGAGCGTGGCCCTCAGTCCCTTGCCTACGGCATGTGCATTCCAGCCCTGCTGCCTTTGCTCCCTCAATTCCCCTTCACTGCCTCCCAAGCCCACCCCACCCTAAAAAAATGTGTCACTCAATTCGGACCTATTCAACCAGTAAAAGAATCCCAACTTTACTAAAACGCCTTCTCCGAGCCCCCAGCCACTTACTGATCTTTTCCCTGGTCTCACGCAATTGTGGTCAATATTGTGGTAATCGCTAATTGTAATGATTGTGTAGTGTGCATTAGTTGTGTTTCCCCAGCTAGATTGTAAGCTCCTGGAGGACAGGGACCACCTCTACAAAAAATAAAAAAAGTACCTCCCCGTCTTGCACAGTGTCCTAGGACCCTGCGGGGCGGTGCAGGTGCACCAAAAAGTTCTCTCTTGTGACTTCTTTTGCGGCTGCGATATATACATCTAAGACTGAGCTTAGGTGCCCATTGTGGAGTGAGCAGGATCCTTGAGAGAGGGAGGGCAGGAGGGAAGGCAACTCAACAGGAATAAATTGGGACCCTCACACAGCCAGTTCCATCTCAGCATTTCCTGAGATGAAGGATCACATACCCCCTTCTAAGAGAGAAGTCCTCACTAGTGGTCTTGGGAGTAAGGGATCACTACCTCCTTACAGAGGGGTGGGTGCTTTCACCTGTCCTGGGAAAGGGGCCTCGGCAGGTAATCACTGGGAAAGATGGGAGGAGGCGAGTAGTGGGAGTGGCTCTCAAAATGGGGCACTAGCGACGCGGCGGGGGTGGTGGTGGTCAGAACTTCAGAACACAAAGTGATCTTCATCCTGGACCTCCAAGGAAATGAGAATTGGGCAGGGTGGGCGCTGGCTCGGGCAATGAGTACAGGATAAGCAGTGTGCTGTGGTGCCTCCTGACCCAGCTCACCACTCCAAGCCCTATAACTTCTACCAGAACCACTACAAAGGCAACCTGCCCTACTCTCCAGGGTCTCTTCTGCTATCCCCAGCAACCTCTCTCCATCTCACTCTTCCCAGTACTGGGTTCTGTGCTGCTTCTGCATTAGCCTCCACATTCTTAGGGGTGCTTACCAGGTCCCTGGTCCTGGGCTCTCCCCTGCCATCAAGTCAGGGTGGGTGGGTGGGTTGGCTGCTGAGCTCAACCTCTCTCCTCTTGCCCACTCCTCAGTGAACTGGGACTCCTTCCACATGGGGTCAGCTGACTGCCTCGCCAATTGGCCGTGCTGTCTGTTTTGCTTTGTCTGTGGCTTTACATGTCCCTGTCACCACACACCTGTTCCTGGGTCAACACCAAGGGAGGGAGTTGGAGGGCCATAAATCTCTCTCTGCCACTTCCTCAAATCCCTTAGTCACAGTTGTCATACACACTCTGGAATGGAAAGCACTTTGCTCTCTTGAGCCTAATGTTCTCCTCCTCTCAGCAAGCACCTTGTGTTTCTCAACCCAACTACCAGCACCTCTCACTGCAGCCCAGCATCCCAGGATTATGGGGGTATAGGATGCAACCTTCGGTTCTGATACTGGCTTTGCCATCAGTCAGCCCAGGGAACCTGGCCAGGTCACTTCTTTACCCTCATCTTTAGTTCCCGTCTATAAAAGGGCTGCTAAGATCTCAGTGAACTCTAACACACTAGAAACATTCTGTTATCAAAATAGCAATCAGGACTCACGGGACTGGAATGGGGATGTGCAATCGGAGACTCGATCTTCCTTAGGCTGGGTGGCTTCACCTCTTACCATAGCCTGAAGGTAAAACAGGTCTCCTCTTGCCTCATCAGTAGGCAATGCCCACACCTCCCTCCTGAAGCCCATCCCTTGGCAAGTCTGAAGACTGGAGTTTCTGTGGTTTTCCACACTAGACCCCCAGAACCATGAACATATTTCAACATGTATTCTTAATGAAGGCCGCCCCTCCCCTCAGAGGCTTCGAGGGGGTGTGCCCACTGCCTTGGATGCTCTAACCTCAGCCCAGTTTTAGGGTAGCTGGGTTCAGGAAGACAGGCTGCAGCAGCTAGGAAGAGTCTGGCTGCTATGGACACAGCAGGCCTCTCTTAAGTCTCCTGTGCCTTCTCTAAAAGGCAGGAGGCTTCTGAAAGCCCCAGGGCTTTCCAGAGGATTTTGGCAAAGCCCATCTGTGGGGCTTGCTCCACCTACATCAGCAGGGCTCAGGGCATGGTGAGATGACGACCTACACCCACGTGAGCAGGCTTGAATGGACACATCCACGCCCTCCTTTGGTCCCCCATTCCCAAACCCTCATGATTTGGCAGCAAACACAACCCAACAGAGAAGACGGGAGTGTGTTCACTTTCTATTCCAGTGCTAGGCCTAAAAGTCTGATCCAAACACATCTTATTTATAATCCCCCTCCCCAGCAGTGATACCATTAAAATATTGTATTCTGATAGAGAGCAATGGGAGGAACTGAAAATGACTACAGAGTTTTATTGCAGATTCCTTAGTCCACAAGGCTAAAAGTCCACAGGCATCCCCTTTCCCTGAACTATCTCTGTTACCCCGACAAGGCCAAGGATAGAGGAGATGAGTTGGGAGAGAACTGGGATGGCTGCGTGGAGCTGCAGCAACAGGTGCAACTGCCCCAAGAAGAATGTTAATTTCTTAGCCTAACCAATTAAAGTTAAGCTGCAGGGGAGTTCGGGTACCCTGACCCTCAGGGGCATTATGTGACACTGTTACCTCTATCTATGAAGTATGTGGATTGTGACTGAAGGAAGGGGCAGGGAGGCCAAGTTTCTTGAGCTTCCTCCATGGAACAGCAACAATTTATTATGCGTGTGTTGGATGAGGGAGAAGGTCTGCTGTGAGCCATTTGCTATTTTCAAATATGTACCTGCTCAGGAGCCAGCACTGTAAAGTGAGAGTCTGAATTTGCAGCTAGTTTTGCCCCCAAGGACTTAAATATGCACAAGTGCGTACATGCACACACAGGCGACATTAATCTGGTCTCTTTTTTCCAGTGGTGACCTCTTACTTCATCTATATGCCCCAGAGACATGTCACCATCTTCTCTGGGAAAGATCCTGTTCACCCTCGTCCCCTTGTCCTTCCCACAGGGCCCACACCCCAGCAGGACCCAGATTCCTGAGCATTCCCAGACAGGAAGTCAGAGAGGCAGGCAACATGTGGTCCTTGGTATATCACACAACTACAGGTTTAAATGAAATGCATATGTTTCAGTGTTTCCAATATTAGAGAACAACAACAAAAAGGTGGCCAAACCCAGACTTCCAGATTCCTCCTCAAAACAACAACGTATTACACATAAAAGATTAAATGACTTTTGGCTGGAATTATAACAAGACCCATTTCAGATACAGAATTGATATGGTCACTGGAAATCGGCAAGGGCTCTGAACCTTTTAACACATTTGCTTGACATTAATTAGTCTCTTATTTAAAACAAATAAACACGATCTAACACTTGGCATTAGCACTTAAGCTGAAACTGTTTTTGGTCCTGGCTTTGGTGTTGCCGTCCAGAAGGCTGAGGGGATGGCTGGACCATGTCAGGCAGGGCAAACAGAAGCTGTCCCCAACACACCAGTTCCCTGAAAGGGATAAAACACGATCCAAACCTATAAATAAGAAAGACCATTTCTTTCCTAGGACAGACCCCAATCTGTCCCAACATTTAGCGCTGAAAAGGGACACGGAGGCCTGGAAGGAAATGAAAGATTTGGAAGGAGTGAGGGAAAAGCAACTGTCCCCCATCCCCCATTCCTCTTTCCAGGCTACAAGTGTGCCAGGCATTCCGTTCCTTCGGCTGCCATTGAGGACCACTCCCCATATATAGGGGAGGAAAAGGAACGACTGTCCAGACGACGTAAAGCTAAAGAGAGTAAAAAAAGGGCCCAAGATTCAAAGTTGAGTCAACCTACCACCCCAGACACTGAAGCAGGGGCCCAGGGCGGGAGACCCTTTTCTCCTCTACCCCACAACCCTTCCGACATAGAAATGCAACTAAAGTGGCGGGTACAGAGTGACAGGCCTCCAGGAAGTCGGGTCCCCTGCCACAGGACCCGGGTTTCAAGAAGGGTGGTCGCGCCCCCAGCCCTGTGCTCCCTGCGTTCTGCCTGCTCCATCCTGGGAGCGGACAGGCGAGCGCTAGCCTTGGAGGCTACAAGAACCCAGGAGTCCCGTAACCCGCCCTCGGGCAGGGAAAGGACCCCCCCTTCCCCGCGCAAGGCCCGGGCTGGGGCCCAAACAGGGCAATCACGTGACACCGGACATAGGTGGCTAGAGGGTGCGCGAAGAGAAATCCCGAAGAGGGACGGGAGACGCCTAAGGTGACCCCAAAGGGGCAACATGGCGGCGCGGACGCATTAAGGGCCTCTCACCCCTCCCCCAGGAGGCCGACACCACGGTACCTGAGAGCCCTGCCATTAGGCGCCGCCGCCACTGTCGCCTGCACGGTCGCAGCCGGCCTCCACCTTAGCTCTCCAAAGACGTCTCAGGAAGCACAGGAGACGCCCCCTTCGTCTTCTAGTCCAGCCGGCCGAGGACCCCTTCTGAGAACTGGCTGTCTATAGAAGACGCCTGATCATAAGATCCAAATTGAGAACGCCCTCGCCCGATATCCCCCAAACGTCCACTGCAAATGACCTTTTGAGGAGTTTTTTCGTACGTGTGCGGAACTCTGCGGGCTCTCAAGTCTTCAAGCCAGAAGAATTTTTAGTCAGGCGCATCTCGGGACAGTCCAGAATCACGGACCCATGGTCCCCTCATGCATATGCAGCAGATTGTGATTTTTTACTCCCTGATATCAGCGGGGGCGTAACTCGGTCTCTGTAAGTGAACACCTATCGCCTCTGGTCCACGTGGGTGGCCGAGGCTCAAAGTCCGGTCCCTTCCTGGCCCTTTCACTAGTGGGCCAAGGCTCAGGAGCGGAAAAATCTGGTCTCAGGACTTAATACCGGACTTGACGTCAAGACCTGACTCCTCCCCTTGCCCTGTACCTTGGGCAGCCACTTGCCTGCCCAGACTGCCAGCTTCCCCTTGTCTGATGAAATACCTACCTCACAGGGTTGTTATGGGGGTTGAATGAGTCAGTGTATTCAATTATTAGCTAATTAAGCACATTTCCTAAGCACTTAACTATGTGTAAGTGCAGTGCTAGAGGCAAAGAGGTAGAATGGAGGGTAGGATAGGCACTGTTCTAACCTCAAAGCCCTGCCAATCTAGTGAGGAAGACCTGGGGGAAGGGAGAGGAAGGACAATCGTCATACACTGTATGTTAATAATTGTAATTGAACCAGTGCATCACGGGGAGCACTGTGGGGCAAAGTATAGTTATAAAAAGTTAATGGAGTCCTAATGTGAGGTGTTGGGAAGCTGGCATTTAGGCCGAGAGACCAAGGACAATTAGGAGGTGTATAGCACCAAAGTGAGAGGAGAAATGTTTTGGGCAGAAAGAACCACTTGACCTAGAGGTGAAGGTGGGAGGAAGCAGGGTAAGAGTTAGAGGTGAGCAAGGAGTTGTGCGGGTAGAGCTCCTGAATGAATTTGGGTTTTATCTAGAGAGTAATGAGAAGCCATTTTCTTCAGGGGAATGATACCAAATTTGGGTTTCTAAAGGTACGTGGAAGTGGGCATGTGGAGGCCAGTTAGAAGGCTGTTGTGCAGCTATCCAGGTGCAGAGTATGGTGACTCAGATCGGGCGGTGGCTTGGGAAGGTAGAAATGTAAAGGATGTAAAATTGGATGTGGTTGGGGACTGAGGTATTTATTGGCAGTAACACCTGAGTGTTTGTCTTGAGTATGAAGGAGTGAAAGAGCCCTTGACCAAAGTGGTGAAGCCTGAAGAAGGATCAGATTGAGGGGGAAGGTCAAGAGTTTGGCTTTGAGAAGGTAAGTTTGAAATGCCCGTGTGGCATGTAGGTGGAGAGGCTCAGTGGGCAGTTTCGTATGAGATTGGGGCTGGCTCAGAAGAGAGACCTGGACAGGAAATACATATGTGGGTAACAGCCACTCACAAGTGATGTATTGTGATGCTGCGTGAGATCTGAAGGGAGGGAAGGTAGATCAGATGGTAGGCAGAAGAGGAGGAGTCAGGAAAGGAGCTGGAGAACAGTGACCAGTGGAGGAGGAGGAAGACCAGGGCAGCATGGGATCCCAGGGAGAAGGTTTCAAGAAAGAGAGTGCTCAGTGGGGCTGACCGTGGGGACAGAAATGGCACCGTTGGGTTTGGTTACAAGGAAGGTTTATGACTTGACAATTGCAAGTTCCTTTATATTGCAAGTTCCTAAAAGAAAGAAAAATCAGATCTTAGCTGAATTGGCCTAAAAAAATAAGTAGCCTACCACTCAGTGGCAGGTTGACCAAGTGGCTCGGCAAAGTCATCAAGGCCATGTTATCTCTCAAGTCCATTCCATCTCTGTTCTGCCGTCTTCATGTTGTTTTTATGCTCACGGTCATAAGATGGCCATCGCAGTTCCTAGGGTTACATCCATGTAAAGAGGTGCCCATCTCTTCTCTAGCAGAGACTCAAACAAGCTGCATGTGCCTCTCACTGTCTTGATGCTTATGGGCTGAGGGATCAGTGTACCTATGCTGCGTACACTCGATACTTGACTCTGGAGGAAAAGAGGAGTCTTCGAGTGAAAACTCTTGTTTAGAAAAAGAGAAGGGGCTCAGTGTTGCCTTGGAGGTGGAACAACTGAAATTCTTGCACACTTCTAGTGAGAGAAAATCGGTGTAACCACTTTAGAAAACTGGCAGTTTGTACTAAATCTAAACATACAGCTATGCTATAACCTAGAATTTCCTAGAATTTCCACTCCTAGGAATTCATTTCAAGATAAATGAGTGCCTATGTCTACAAAATGACCTGTGCAAGAGTTTTTGTAGCAGATGTATTCATAGCTCAAACTGGAAATAGCTCCATGTTCACCAAAAGGGGAATTAAAAAACAAACTCTGGCATATTTATTCAACAGAATACTACACTTTGTGTCTAAAAGTACAAAATACTGACATTCGTGACACCGCAGATTAATCACATGCACAGTATGTGGACTAGAGGAATCTAAACACAAAAATAGTACTTATTGTATGATTCCGTTCATGTAAAGCTCAAGGACATGCGAGACTAATTTCGGATGATAGAAATCAGAATAGTGCCCTGGCTGGTGTAGCTCAGTGGATTGAGCGCGGGCCTGCGAACCACACGACCCAAGGGAGCACAAAAGAACCATACATTGATGTTTCTCTCCCTCTCTCCTTCCTCCCCTTCCCCTCTAAAAAAAAAAAAATAATAATTAAAAAAAAAAAAAGAAATCAGAATAGTAGTCATCTGGGCTGGAGGCCGAGTAGAAATGGGAAAAGAGCAAGAGGGACTTTTCTAGGGTGCTGGAAAACGTCCATGTCTTAATCTGGTTGGTGATTAATGGGCAGAAATTCATCGCACTCTTCCACAAGCTAAGGGGACTTTATGTATGTTCTACCCCTAAGAAAAATAAAATATAAGAAGAGAGAAAGGGATTCTGCCAACCTATGCCCGGTGACATGTGCTGTTGAGCAAGAATCAGAAGGTCCATTTCGGAGGGACTCTGCCTTCCTGTAACTTTCATGCCAGGTCTGGGCACTGACTGACAAGGCCCCAGTGGCCAACCCTCTCCTCTTTGGGGCCTCAGAAAACTGGAAAAGATGAGGCAGGGCCTTTTAACATGGGGCTGACTCTTACCCTGGTGGTTCCCTTCCTCTGTACCCACTAGACCGCTTCACCCTGCAAGCTCAGATTTAGGTGGTAGAAATGACACCAAAGCTGGGCTCTGACTTCAGGAACCTGGAAGGTCTTTCTGCCCTAAGATTTTGCTCAGCAGACCTCACTTTCCTGCCCAGGCCTGTCCCGCCTGCCATCTGAACTTAGCTACGATCCTGCTCTCTCCTGCTCCACACGCTCCTAGTCTTGTCCACCCCTTCTAAATCCCCCTCAGGACTTTTCTGTCCCCACTGTGTGTCACTGAACAAGTTACTTAACTCCTTGTGCCTCGCTTTTCCCATTTGTAAAATGAGGAAGACATTAGGATTGACCCCATATGGTTGTTTCTGGGAATTCAACGAGTTCCCGTTTTACTTGCTTCGAATAATAATACCCTCACGTAGTTAGCACTACAAGTGGGTAAAATAACCTAGCCCAGCCCCCCCACCCACCATGGCTTTTGAATTTGCTATCCTTAAGGAGGCAGGACAAGTGGGTTCAAATCTCTTTTGACTTTGTAAGGTCTCTGCCTACTCCGCCTTCAATTTCTCCAGCCCCAGAGCCCTTTTGTTTCAGGGTCCTTAGGGCTCGTACTCTTGGAGGCTGGTGCTGCCATTTTAACCAAGTCTGTGCCGCCACCTAGTGGGAATATGAAGAAATGCCTAACATTCTTACCGAACAGTCATCAACCTATTAATGGCGTGGACAGTGATGGTATATTAAGGTCTTTCTGTGTGCCAGGCACTGAGTGTTACATGGGTGCTGGTAGCTAACTTTCCATTTTACTCTGTAAAGTATAGATTCTATTGAAGATTCAGGAAGACAGGTCAGTTGTCTAGGTGAGAGAGCTGGGTTTGAATCCCCAGAAGTCTGCATTTTTAACCCCTCTATGCCAGGTTTCTGAATGAATACTGGGGAAACATAAAAATTAAATTTCAGCCTCATACATACCTATAATCAATAGCTATTTTAGAATAAATAAGGAGTAGACCCCATGCCTGGATAAGCTATAAAATGACTCTGCAGTATTTCTTAGAATATTTAGGACCCAGGGAGCTTTTCCTTCCAAGGGCCAAGTCCTTAGAGAAGATTATGGGATCCTGCCAGGGTCTTGCAGTGAGGCTCAATTCCAGAATCCCAGCTGTCACTCATTCATCATCTCTATAGCTAACACTTACTGAGTGCCAAATATAAGCCAGCCATCATGTTAGGCTCTAGGAATACAGTGGTGAGCAAGAAAGAGTGATTTCACTGAGCTCACGGGCTGATGGCAGAGGAGCCAGGTGAGAAACACAAGATTATAAGCTTGTCACTGTGTGACCAGAAAGAACTATAAACAAAGGGACCTAAGTTAGTCTGGGGGTGGTCAAGGAAGGCTTCCTGAAGGTGGTGACATTTAACCTGAACCTGGAAAAGGAAGAAGGAATTTTCTGGATCATGAGAATGGGTGACGGCATTACAGGCAAAGAATAGAATTTGAGACAACTCAGAGGTGAGAGACCAGGGCTGTTCCAGAGACCACAGGCAGGTCGGTGTGACTGGGTTGGAGGGTGAGAGGGGAGTGGTCTATGTCGTGAACATACCATGTGGTGTCTTATAGGCCAAGTCGAGGAGTTTGGATAATGGGGAGCCGTTGGAAGGCTTTAAGCAGAATATTTGAATTTGTAAAAGGTTGTTATAGCTGAAGTAGATAGATTGAAGAGCAAGACAAGGAAGTGTGGCGATAGGAGGCCAAGGCAAGTGTCTGGGTGGTAGTGGCCTGGTTGAGAGTGGAGGCAGTGAGGATAGAGGGAGGTGGGCCAGTGTGTGACGTGTTCTGGAGGCAGGGCTGTCAGGACTTGCTGACTGCTTAAATGTGATGGGCTAAGGAGAGAAATCAAGGATGATTCTTGGGATATTGGCTTGAAAAATGGGTGCATTTACTGAAATGGATTAGAATGAGGGAAGAGCAAACTTGGGGAGATTATCTTGAGTTCAGATCTACCTCAGAGGGCAGAGAAGCTTTTTCGTTGGTTCTATTTGGTGTAGATTATGCTGGGA